GTGCAAGGGATCATGAGACGGCTGGTAGCGGGCCGATGGATTCTGGGGCGCCGGAGCCCACAAAATTTGTTTTGGTATGCCCAGAAACTTGGATGGACACCCCTCAATGTGCAGGCTCTGCCACTAAAGAAGACGACCCATTTAAAAAACTGGCTGTTCGCATTGTTCCGAATTCCACTACAATGACGTATGATGACCAAAATAACACTTCTCGAAACGAAATGGCTTACGGCGGTGTGAGTCCACGTCCCGTTGCTTCGAGTTCATCTAAGTCGACTTCGTATGTTACTAGTTCCAGTTCTAGAACTATTTGCCTTGACAATGCTAATCAAAGCGCTCAGGACCAAATAAAAGCTAGTCATGCGTCTTTACCGAACACCTCTTGGAATTCGGGTGCACCCAATTTACGCGGCTTGCACCAAGATATCTTTAATTTCGATAATATAAAGGCCGGTAAAATAAAGCCAATGAAAGCTGACCCGGTTCTGCCCAGCTCAGTGAAATCAAAAGGCAACAAATCGGAACACGAGGTTTTCAAATCAGAAGTGACAACGCCAGCGACATCATATTCTATGCAGAAAAACTGGGTTTCTAGAAATTCAAGGAATCCCGCTGCACCCAGTCCAACTTCTGATTCGTTCGGCCCAATGAACACCGACGGAAATAATGTTCCTATAATAGGTTCCAGTTCAGTCGAGTGCGGTATGATGAGTTCTAGTGAATTTATATCCAGCCAATTAAATCCTAGTAACGTGGATTCCAATAAAATACCTCATAGGTTAGACAAGTACAACGAGCCGACCATCTTTCAAGTAAACAGTGATGCTAGAAATAATTTGGCAGGAAATCGTGGTACTCTCAATCCTGGATTATCCATATCAAACCTAACGAATATTGGGCCACAAAGGACCAGTGCAGCAAATCTTGTGGTAGGGAATGCGCAGAGCGTTGAACGGCATCGTCTTCTAGCCGACCGCAATACGATAAGTCTTACTGCTATTAATTCCAGTATAGCACAAACACACCTAGCGAGGAACTCCAGTGAACCTGTAAACCTTTGGAAGTCGCCGAACTTTTGCGCACCACGAACTGCTGCTACTGCGGTCGCAGGGTTACACGGCACTCAAAACTCCAGTTCAACGAACTTTGACCGGCAAAATCCTACCGATCCCGGTGCTGTACATAGCCCGAATGTTGTAAATGAACGCTGTACGCAAAATCCTTTATCAAACCAGGGGAGCAGCGAAATCGACTCTCGTGCGGCTTCATTTAGCATTGTCGATCCGAGCCTCGGCTTAGCGGTGCCGAACGTTACTTCGTTGAATCCCGGCGCATTCGGCCCTACCGCGTTTAGCTTTAGGGGACACAACCCGAACCTAATCACTTCTGGTACTAGCACTACAGTGAACTCTGCTGCTGTTCCGAGCTCGGCTATAAGAGACCCTTCGATCACGAATTACGACTGTCTGAGCTCAAATACACAATATCCTTGCACAATGAACCCATCTTCGAGTACATATAGTCAGGGCGGCCAACCCGCTCTTTTCCGAGCTCCAACTGTAACTCAATATCTCAATCCGGCGGTTTACAGGCCTCTATCTTTCAGCCCAGGACCCCTGTACTGAGGAGTGAAGTTATTAATAAGCACATCTTATGGTGCCAATAGAAGATACCTATCGATTCCTATGTGAGAACTGTATAACTGCTAACTATTGGTCGTACTCGTACGCATTTTCTGTAACAGTCTAAGGGAAAAGGCGAACATTTTATCGATAATAATAAAATACAAGTAGTGCTATTTAAACTATGTTGCGATGTTTGATATGCATAATGCGGCGGACGAAGCGATACTCGTGTGTATAACAAGGAGAGTCAACAGTGAAAGACCATAAACAGTAAGAAAAAATACCGCCGAAGGATGCGATTATTCCATATAGCTATCGTTGCTATTTTTTTTAAGGATCAATCCCACATTCAGAAACTCTTGTTTTTACCCAATCTTCCGTATTCTACACGTTTCTATATTTAGAAATATAGGTGTTTGCATTCGACTGCTATATCTCGTCGTTTCAGACATCGGCATGTATTGCTAAATGAAGACATCTGCTGAATATCGTTAGTTTTTATTCTGTTCACTCACGCAGCTCAGTCTTAATCGCAAGCACCGAGTGGGACAAATATAACGAAAGTACTGACAACCGCCTTTTTTTTCGATGTCCTCACTGTGATGGTGACAAGCTAGAGGATACAGGGTCTCTGGATGCAAGCATTGTAGGCCCCTGGGTTAGCACCAGTATGAACATTGGCCGTGAGATTAGCAACAGCCACCTTCTGCTTATTGGATAACTTCTGCATTAGAGAACTATTGTAATCGGCATACTGCGTTACAGAAGTCTTTATGTCACTTGAAGTAGCGTCCTCGCATATATGAAGCTGGTCCGTGAAGGTATCTCCGATTGCCAGCTCCACCGAATCTTTGGCTTCCTCTGACATTCCTATGCAGGCTTTGAAAGCAAGGCAAAGTTTGAACTAATCACTTCGTTATTTCAATTCAGTAGTGATGACTACGTGCTAAAGTTAAGTCAGTTTCGTATTTGGGTCTCCTTAGCTAGTTCATCTTCTGATATAGATTTTACGATGAAGCTTCCTTTATCGGGAAACCAGCCTAGGCCCTTGCGCATACGAAGCGTACGGTATATAGCGGTACATAGCGATTACAGACTAAATATATATGCATGTAGGTAATACGAAAGAATCGAATGTAAAAGTTAGTGGTGCCGGCCGGACGTTCAGATTGACATTAGATAATATCTTGCTAAATACGATACGTCATCGTATCTCACGTAGAATATCTCAAGACGTATTTAGTCCACTCTTGCGCGAAAAGTACATCGTATGTCATACCGCACGATGTACGCACGGTACATCGTACCATGTATACACCGTGTGTTTATCATGCGTGTCATCAAGACGCAAAGCTAACTTATCATATCGTCATTTACTACGTATCATAAAAATGTCAATGATCACAGCTGTAAGCAGTGTTACGCGTTTCAGATAACGCTAAAAATGTGTAATACATATAAAAAAATATTTTTTTTTTTGCTATTCTATTTTATTTTAATGCTAAAAAGATGTTGTAAACATTTCCATTTTCCAGTATAATTTATACCTGTAAAAAACTCAAGCTAAAGATTTTTTTTTTACTAGAAATTATGTAATATTAAGTACTTTTTGCTCGAAGACCTGCAGTCTCATCGTCGACCTGCAGTCGTCGTGCAGTACCCACTTGGTAACAGTTCTTCGGCTCGAATATTAGCGTTTTTTTTTTCTTTTTTTTTTACAAAGTTCATTCAGGAGGAACCCACACAATTGACAATCGACACCAATGCAATGATACGCCAACGTAACATACTTCTGGCTGAACTAGCTATCCTTAGAAGAAACAATAATCGAAATCTCGTATCGCTTCCTTTTGCCGCCCCTCCACGTACTTGTATGTAACAACTTACGTTAATTAGTGCATCGATCAAAGAGCCAACTAAGCTATAGCTTTAATCCATCGATCAAGATGTTTACTGCTTAGTTAGAATGTCGGCCACTCACATGATTGAATTTGTATGCCGAACTATAACAATGTTTTCATGGCATAGTTCGATCGATATAAAATTTTTATTATATATTAGTAACTCAAATAAGAGGTTTCTGTTATTATTTCGGTTCGTATGTTGTGAGCGCCAAAGGCAGAGGTTTTAGGAGAACGAGACTATTGAGAAATAATACGAGGTCCAATATCATCAACGGACATACGATGGTGCGCTCACATTGGGTAAATCTTTGATGGTCTGTCGTACAGGGCATGCGTTCATTCGTTGTTCTTCCTACCAAACGAAACCCAGTTTCTGATGAGCAACAGTGCATCGTTTTCGGACCGAAAATCAGCTATTATCGAATCTTTTCGTGTTAGATAAACTTCTACTAAGATCAGGGATTTTTTTTTATCCAAAATCGACGGTTTACAGTCTTCGTAACGTTGAAAACTGCAGAAGACTTATGAAGAAAACCGGAAAATGTACAATGGGTTTTAAATGTAAGCGCTTTAAAATTCATTTTTGGTACACTTAAGTTTGATGCACAAATTAGTGGTTTTAGAAAAAAATTTGTCAACTGGGTCGTCCAGATAAGATAAAATTTTCTTAAAGTCTTGCATTTTTAAATTTTTGGCCTGCTATTAGCCTCACATTAGAGTTCCAGTAGAGTTTCTTGCGCCTAACGTATCCCATGGGATTTATGCGAGTTTACGCCGACTGATATCACTTTTCAGTATTTCAGTAATCTACTTAAAACTCGAAATCACTGGGTAGTAAATAGCATAAAGGAATAGTACGATACTAGTGTATCCATTTTGGTCACCCTTTTCATGGCTGGCAAATGTCAGGGCTGTTTTGTTCGAGATATCACTGTTGAACATTGCTTCAAAAACAAAGGACCCAATACAAGAACTCTGACCGGACCGAGCAGAACAGGCCACTACTGCATCATTGAAGTATCTGTGGGCTAAAACTCAGTACTAGTGCTCTTGTTTCTCTGACTTTTAAGTGACGAATACGTTTACACCGCACCACGGCGATCGCGTGCCTATTTACCACCCGAAGTTGACTCAAATCCAATGTCCTTTTCCATGGTGTCGTGGGCTATAAATAAAACGTACATTATCTTTGCATTATCATAAAATAATACTATGTTTTTTTTAAGCCCGTTCCAGCCGATATTTGTTTCAGCTTTCCAGCAAAAAACTTTCAAAGCCACTGAAACGTTTAATCAAGTATGTTGCCTCAATAAAAACCAACTCATCTACTTCTAGGTAAATTTTCGACAGTGATGCTAAATGAAGACTCGTGATTACTATCGCATTCATAACGTGGTTAGGCCAAATTTGCTATTGTCATTGGACTTATGCATAGCGAAAATCAACGATCTACAGCTGTCATATCGTCTGACTAGCCTGCGCCTGCCGCCGGGTTCTGCTTTGACGACGGAGGAACGACACCGATGTTGTCAACGTTCGGGTTATAGAAACCAGGACTATACGGATTTACGATAGGCGGATTACCAGGGCGTGCAACGGTGTTGAAGAGCCCTGCAGGGATAAAATTTACTGGGGTGAAAGTAGCTCCAGCGGTGGATCCCGAATGAGCAGTTCTTCCCCCTGAAATTGTTGATGCTGGGACAATGACCGCCGGGTTGATTGCCATTCCGTTGGGCGTTACTGGGGGGTGCGGTTGCTCACCGGGGGTTACGTGCAACGGTCCTTGTTGATGCTGAACATCACCCGTTATTGGACTGTAGATTCCTGGGGCTCTCCCCGTATTGCAGAGAACAGGAACGGTGAAAGTTCCTGCTCCACCTAAAATGGGTTCACTTCCACTTAGTCGAGTCACAGGAATAAAATCTCCAACGCTGATAATTCTATATGTGTCGGCAAACTGATCTACAGGATTTGAAAGTCGATGTATTGTACCGTCGGCAGTGATCGTGATGGTATCAACAAGGGGTATATTAGCAGCCGGCGAGGGGGTGGAAGGACGGAGGCAATCCTCTAGGTTACCAGGATTAGCGGTTTCGTTGCAGCTACTGGTTTCGCTCTCTTCTGACTTGACAGGAGCTGTTCGTTTGGCTGACCCTGGATTGGTGTCCGCTGGAGCAGAACTTGCGGACGATTCGGTCACAGAGCTCGAACATCGTCCGCATGTACTACTGTGCGTCCTGCAGGGGCCATGCTGAGCACAGGATGTGCGTGCACTTTGTATCCTTGGATTAGCTCCTTGTGGGCCGAGACTCATTGGGCAGCTGGCCTGGCTTACAGCAGCAGGAGTACTGTTACAGACATTATGAGCGACGTTTTCACAGCTACAAGGCTGCACCGCCAGAGAAGTGCTACTCTGACAAGGTTGGCTTTGTGCGCCCAAATGACTACCCGGCATACATGTGCTTCGCAAACCTGCATTGTGCATACAAGTGGCGAGTTGGCCAGGATTGCTCTGCCACGAAATTTGAACGTTATTTGGGTCAAAGCTGTAAGTATATGGCTCCATGGTCGACTGATAGTGAGCTGGGTTTTTATGTCCCATTGAACCGCATGTAGGCATGCTGAATATTCGTGGCTGCGGTCGATACGCTACGCCGCTGTACGGAGAAAAATATTGACCATACGGTATTGCACTGTAATTTCCGTTACTTCCCACATTGGATCCGTAAGGGTTTGGGACGAATCCGGTGGAACTAAACGGCGCAGGTATATAACCAGCTAGAGAAAATGGAATGCCGCAATACACGCCGTACTGATATGGACTTCCACGAGCATTGCTAGCACCAACGTAGCTCGGACCACCGTAGCCAGTAGAAGGGCTGTATGTTCCGGTTACATACGACGATGGGCTGCCGAAGCTGTTGTAGTTGCTTATCATACTGCAGGAACCACCATTAGTTGCGCAATACGAATTGTATCCGCCATTGGGATTAAATCCGAGTATAGCATAGCATCCAGGCCTGTCACTGCCGGGAAAACCTAAAGCACGAGGATTCGGTCCAGCTATACTGAAACTGCCTGGGCAGCGGAAGTCGCCACCATGACCTAGATAGATGTCGTGAAGGGCATTATTGGCGGCATTAACTAAGTAAGCCATGAGCTCGTCACCGCCTCGAAGTGGGTCTGGATTATCTCTGCGTGAATAGTATCTGGGTAGCTGGTAGTTGCCATCCATCGAATACACTACCCGCTTGCACTTATGCCGTATTTAGTATTAGAATTCTCTCCCTTTCTTTAGAATCTTACTCATTAAGCTTTCTACTTGATCAATCAACGATTCGTTCTAGATCAAAAACGCTTTGTTTCGTTGTTTTCGCAAACAACTTACAGCTACTCAAGGTATAACAACAATTCAGATTAATAGAAGCGTGCGTTAATTTTGCATCTACATGCAGCGCGCAAAAATCCAAACTGCTAGCGGTAAGCAGCTCGCTGAAAAACCGGCAAATAAAATCCATAGTAAAGCTCAATCGACTAAGATGACGCGACTATTTTGAAAAGTTCTACTTACAACGTAATCGTGAACTTTCCTTTCAATTGACTGACCAATGGCCATTTGTAACCAATAGCCTTAGTATCTACTTGCTGATAATGGCGTACCGAAAAAAGTACGGACAAGACTATTGGCGATTAGCCAAGATAGGACCTTGATGATCATGTTAATGAATTTTCTTTGTTTTTCAATTTGTAACTAAGCCGTAGTTCCGCACATTAGCGCAAATGGCGTCTTACCTATGTGCTAACCATCGGTAATAGCTCTTGAACAATGTACACCCGACGTATTGAAAAATAGCCTATGTAAAAGTTTGGCTGCCTAGCAGGAATCTCTAACACTGATGGCCACAGTTTCACTTTAGATTTTGTACGTTTTACATTGTCCCTTGCTTACGAGTACTCTAAATTGATCATTTCGCTTAAGTAAAAGCCAAGCTCGCTCTATCTTATCAAAACAGGTGGTTGAAGGCTGGGTTGAAGCCCCACGATTGATATTATGTTGATCCTATGTGTTGCAGGTTAGAACGCGCTGTTGGAAAGCGACTGAAAATTATTAACGGACTACTTTTTTTTTTTAATTGAGTTTAAACTATGGTTTAATTGGATCTCCCATTGAAAAGCCGAAGCAACTCTAAATTTCCTAGTTATTTTGTTACTCGACTGGCTGACATGCCTCCGCACACTTGTGAAAAGTGTGTTTCTATTTACCAGCTTCATCATGTACAGCTTAACAAAGCAGCCCAGCCCAGTTACAGGATCGCTATCAACAAAGTAACACCATCAAAGTAACACGTTACTTAGTAAACAACAGTAATACAATAGGCTTTATTGTTGTTGTTGCTGTCTTGTTGTGTTGTCTCGTCTGCTCGTTGGTTGTACGTCTCGTCGTGGGGCTTTTCTCAATCTAGTCATCGTCAATGTTTGGGACATTCTGGCGTGACCACTTCCGGTTTTGATTTCAATAGTGCGATTGATTTCGAAACGTTGACGTTCATTGGATAATACAGCTGCAGTTCTCTTCCACTACTTTTCCTCTTTACCCTCCAAGGTTAAGCACCCCGCCAGATCTGAATGTTCCATGATTATACGCCTGGCCGGGGTTATAAGCACCACTCATGTTGTAAGCGCCAGGATTTACTGCAATCGGGTTGTAGGCTGGGTAACCAATAGCTCTAGCGTTGAAAACGCCTGGATTGTAACCGCCGGTGAAGTACCCAGCAGGAGTTGGTGGCCCAGACACTGGGCCGTAGGGTGTGCTACTAGGTGCTGCACGGTTATAAGGACTGGCGTTGAAGAAGACAGCAGGGCTGTACGCGCTAGCTGTGTGATTAACAGACGCATATGGCCTCGGGGTCGGAAGCGTGCAATTGGGTGCATTGGAACTATAGCCGCTGCTACGGCTTCCGGTCCGCTCGTAGTTTCCGCTTGTAGGAAAGAAGACGGAACCGTGAGCGGTGTGCGAGTACGGGCGCTGGGTGTCGGTAAATCGAGGTTTATGATTCGCGGAGCCGCCACTCTGGGTCGGTGCAGTCTTCTGGGTTGCCACACGGTCTTGCGTCTTAGGCAATGAGTCTAGACATTCATCAAGAACATTTGCGACACCTGCAACAAGCTCTCGCCCGCCGCGCAATGCGCCAATTCCACCATTCGGCGAACAAAATTGCCCCGAACTGTTTCCGTTCATCACCAGTTTGTCGTGTCGCTTGCCTATCGCCGACATTAACTACAGGTCCGATTCAGTAAACCCACTCTTATAGTCCTCTCTTCTTACCTTGATACAATCGCGTCTAGCAACATAAAATCATACAGCAGTCACTGTTTCGTTATTTGAACCTAAAATGTCTATTAGTCGCTGACTTTTCGTCGCTCCCTGTTTAGCTGTGCGTTAAAATGACATAAGCTAAATTGGAAAATTTAGTTGAGTGAGGCTACAGCGAAAAAGGATTTTAGAGGACGTAAATTTGACTGAGGTTGCTTTTTGATTGAAACGACGAGGATAAATAATGGATCTTTTCGAAGCAATAGAGTACTAGGAAATACGTTAATTCGCGGCGGGCGGTTGTATGTGAAGCAAGTAAATTTACATAAGACACCAATGACGTATTAATGGCGGGTCTGGGACCAACAACGCTGAATTTCAGCTATGCTGGAAGGCTTACCGTGGTTTCACACTGTGACCGTATGAAACCGAGCCGCATTTTTTGGCCCCCTGCAAATCGCCTGTGAGAGATATCTTGCCTACCTGAAACTAAATAATATTAAGACAGCCAAAAGCATATAGCGAGTGCATCCCCGTAATATTAGCGTAATGGCCACCATTAGAGGCACAGTATTGATGTCCTAGTTTTAGCTGATAGGGTCACAACGAAACACATATGAAATACTGAGATTATGATAGAAAAACACGTTCACAAAGAGATACTCGCTAAATTGGAAGATCACTTCTGGTATTTGATCATTTATTTCCAAATTATCGATGCAAAACATATTTAAATAGCTAGTAGCATACAATGCGGTCCTAAGGTTCATTTGCAGCTCTGAATAGTAAAAGGATCGACGAAAGCCTTCGAAAACGATACAAATTCATTATAAATTAGGTTTTGCTAAAACCATTGTTTATAGGCGTTCTACACGAATCAGTCAACTATAATGGCTAGGTAGAACTGAGCCGTTAAATTCATTGAATTGGACATGTTTCCGTTGTACTTCAACGAGGAAGTCGGTCGGATAAAGGCGCGAAAACTATCCGACAAACGATCCGTCGATGAGTCTACTACAGACCATTGTGATGATTCCACTACGATGCATCATGATTGGCCATGCCAGATGGTTGATGCTCATTTAACGTGGCTGAAAAACTTTTGGCTTGGTCTGACAGCGTTAGAATACAAGTTCAATCGCTTTAATATGGATTAAACTCGTTCAGCACCTCTGAGCAATTACTTTTAGGCGTAAAAGAAAAAAAGGAACTTATTACGTTCGTCGAATAGAACGTGGCTGGTGAAGAGAGAAACAGACAGGACCCAATTCAAACACCATAGCTGAAAAAAACAGTAACAGTCATTATTAGCAGGCCACGATACTAGGTTGTACATTGAACATGAGGTTATTACCGGACATGTCATGTTTATTTAAGAAACTCAAATTTATTATTACCACTACGACGCTACTCTGTCGCCTTCGAATAAATCCTTGACGTCCTAGTAACAGTCAGGTGCCTTTTTTCAATTCTTTATCCCGTTCGATTACACACTGAGTAGAAATAGTTCATTCACTGTTTTTACTTAACCTTTAGTATGAAAACACTGTGTGCAATATGATAAGGTTTCTTAGTTGTTGAAAAAAAAACCTATAATAGCATTTTCAGGCTCGTGCAATGTAGTATATAAGTGTGATCATTCTAGAAAGTTTCTTTTAAAGCATAGAATAACGAAAGGAAAATAGACAGACGACAGCCTGTAGTCGATTGCCTAAGTATCCTGAGCACATAGTTACGCTCCGTGGATTCGGTGTGCCATCAAAGGAAAAGTAGTGAAGCTGTGAGTGCGGTAGGGAACAAGGGTCATCGATGGAAGGCAAGAATATAGGAAAAGTTGGCGGCAGCAGTTTCGTCGGGGGAGATATCTTCACTCAACTTGTTGACGCGATAGACTCATTCCTTGGGTTTGGAGCCCACGATCCATGCGTGTATAAACCCTGCGCTTACGATCCTACGGAGTTTGTGCCTATTAGAGTATCAAAGGCCGAAGTAAATTCTAGTGAAACCAAGGAGGGCCATTCAGAATACGGAAACGTAAATTTAATTTCTTAGAATCTGTCTTAATCGCCATGGCACTTGACGTCGGTGCAGAAGTGCAGAAGTAAGATGCCTCCCTTAAGATTGGACGAACGTTTCAAGATAGTGTGTTGTCGATTCTCATGAGACAGCTCCTATCATGAGTGAGTAAATTATGTGTACGACTACACAACGTACCGTCAGATATCAAAATCCTGGCATACCCCGAGGACATGGACGATTTTGAGCTTCTATCTGCATTTCTAAAAATGGAGTAGACAGCGTTACGGGATTACGGAAACAACAAAATCAACGGAGGCCCACGAGCATCAATATCAACACAAATTGTTTCTTAATAATGGGAATTTCTTTTTAGACGTAACAATATATCCACCGATTAAGGCATTCTGTTAAAATAAGTATGCAGTAAAAATGTTTTATAAATGGCAGGAGGCATACTCTTAGGGTACCCTGCCTGGGTAGAAAACGCCTGCAAACCTGTGGCTTTCAGCTGGAGTTTGCATGTTTTCAGTGTTCTAGTACTGAAGTCAGCGCGTTACATGAAATCAACGCGTTACATAATGATCGTACATTGTAATAAGGAAATGAAACTCGTGATTATTTATGTATTTATGCATGGTTAGACCCGAACTTGGCCATTAATTATGCATGGCTAGACCCGTATTTGGCCCGTTGAGAAACGACGTTCTCCTCACTTTCAGCACGGTATTTTCTAGACGACGGCTTACTCAGGGAGAGTACCTGCCAGTGACTGGCAGCTTCGCTCCTTGGTCATTCTTAAACGACACGTATAAACGATTCCATGATAAACTAGATATGTGTATGCGTTCAAAAATACTTGTGTTATGCCTATTTCCCATTGTAACATAACTTAATAATATACC